TTTTTTTTTTTTTTTTTTTTTTTTTTTTTTTTTTTTTTGAGTTGAAGGATTCTATAACCTGAGGGACTCTAGTGAGAAGACAGCCTTCTGTGTGGTGGTTCTTTCCGTCTAGGAGCAGCTGCCCCTAAGGTTAGAAGCATGACTTTGCCCGTTTCCATGAGTGAGAAGTCAGAGTGGCTGTCATACCAGCCAGAGGGGACCAGAGATGAGACCTGGGAAAGGCTGCACACGTAGAAGATAATGCCAGAGGGTTTTGGTTTTGCTAGGCATTTCAAACACTGAAATAAATGTGACAAATACAGCAGATTTCCATGTACACCAAGCCATTTGGATGTTAATAGTTTGCCATATTTGCTGTACTTATATCCTCCTTTTTAAAACTAAATGTATTTTTAAATAACTGGAGATTCGTGTGACATCGTAAGAAGCAGCAGAGATCCTGCGTGCCCCTTACCCAGTTCCTCCCACAACACCTTCCAGGGCCCTAATATAGTGTCACAACAAGAAATGGGCACTGGGTACCAACATACGAACCATGTCCATCCCTGCCAGGGTCTCTCAGTCCTCTTGTGTAGCACCCCATTCCCACCCCTGGCCCCAGCAACCACTCAGTCATCCTCTATTCAGACAATTTTGTCACATCGAGAACGTGGTTATCTAAATGAAGCCATCTAATATGGTGAGTAATCATCTGAGATTGACTATTTTTTCCACTCAACATCATTCCTTTGAGATTTGTTCAAAAAATAAAGAAGGAAGCCTTGAAAATCCAGCTGCAGCCTGCTTCTCCTCCTCCTCGTGGCTCTGTCCTTGTCCCCTCACAGAGCGCTGTTGTCTGGAGTCCAGCTTACCCTGCACAGGGGCCCCTGGGCACCTTCACCTACATTCCTGCTACTCTTCCACAGCGAGTCAAGGGCGGAGAATGCTGTACATACATTTATTTTCTGCACACGCCATGGACACCGCATTGCATCCCTTGAGGCTCTTATGGCCAACCCAAATGGACCTTAAACAAAAGGATAGACCTGAGGCAGATCCCTAAGGTTAAAAGGACGTGCTCTGCAAGTGAGGATGGGAGGAGGGACAGGTCCTAGGTGGAATTCACTCAAGACCTAGAGATACTTTGAAGGCTAATGACAGACAACCAGGGCTGGGGTGTGCACACCTACCCTTTGAAAATGCTCTCCGGGTGCACAGTGCAGCTCCAGACTCACACTCACTCAAGAGTGGCCAGGAATGAAGGTTGGGAGCCATGGGTCCTGGATTCATCACATTCTGGCTCTGCCATGTGTAACTAGCTTCTATAGAATGGGGTGATAAGGGAATCTAGCAAGGTCCAGTTCAGGTAGAGTGCCAGCACAGAGTGAGAACACAACACAACACAAGTCAGCTTCTCTGCTGCTGCTCCAAGAAGGCCCACCCTCGAGTGATAACAAGTAGTGCCCTAAGACACGTGTGAGTTCCAGTGACAGTCCTAAGGGAGGTCTCACATCACCAGGCCAGCATGGTTACGGGCGGGATTCTGACTCTGTCTTCAGGTAGAGGAGAACAAAGGAGGAAATGAACCTCGGCTGTAACAGGAATGAGACCCTCATCCCACAGGTGAAGCCAGCAGAAGGGACTGCTGGGGAGAGAACCTGCACTGCAGCACAGGTCTCACTTGTGAAACATGTCCCCGTACTTTCAATTTTTTGAAAAAATGCAAACTTATAGAAGGTGAGAAAGCATAGCCCAATGAGCACTCATACAAGCTTCATGCAAGTCACCAACTGTCACTGTTTTATGACATTTGTCTCATCTCTGTGCATACATATTTCACATATATACATATATTTTGCACATACAGACATTGTATGTAAAAAAGCTGTAGATGCTATAATGCTTTAAACACTTCAGCAGGTATTTCTCCAAAACAAGGATATCTTCTCACATAACCACAACATCAATTTTATACATAAGAATTTCAAATCAACAGAATAATGCCATCTAATGTACAACCATATTCAAATTTCCACAGGGGTCCCAATAATACCTGGAATCACCACTTTAAAAACATCCTGGTTCCTAAAAAGCCACGACACATGGTGGTGCATGCCTATAATCCTTGGGAGGCTGAGACAAGAGGATTGCCATGACTTTGAGGCCAGCCTGGGTTACTTAGTGAGTTCAAGACCAGTCTGGACTACATAGCAAGACTCTGTCTCAAAGAACTTAAAAAAAAAAGAAAGAAAAGAAAATCCTGGTCCCTCTCCAGGACTACATATTATAAGTGATTATTCCCTCTTGGATGCATCTTTTTTAAAAGCTGTGTTTAGAAACCCCTATCCTCTACTTCTCTGCCTTTAGACACTATCAACTTTCTAGTTGCCATCCTTAGAGTCCCCAGTGCCACCTGCCCCTCAGTTTTCTTTAGCCCTGTCTGGTTAGACCCCGACACAGCCTGTGACTACAAGTAATTCACCTGAAGAGCAGGGCTTTGTTACAGGCAAGGGCTTCCCTGTCATTCCGCCTCTTCCTTCAGCCAAGCAAAGCCCAGGGACCATAATCCAGCACTCGTTCATCCCTGGACAGCGTCTACACCTACTCAGAGTTCCAACATAAACAAGATCTTATCAGAATCCAAAAGGCAAGGAAACGCGCTAACAAGGGGAAGTCCCTTCTATTTTGGAGTTACAAATTCTCAAAGCTGAAGAAAACCACAGAGATGACCCTTGGTTTTACAGATGAGGATTTCACCTGAGTTGCGAGTCAGGCACCTTCAAGGCTTACCTTGTGTTGGTCTGGTTATGCTGGTAGGATTGTACTTAGAGTTTAACAGGAGCTCTTGTGAAACCCCTCCATATACTCTGTTTTTAGAAGGCACAGAATTGATCATTGTTTTCAAGTGTCCCAGAGACAGTGCTGGATTGCAGTACCCAAGTCTGGCGTCTCCCTGTACTTGCCCAGCCCACCCAGAGCTCATCAGCAGATGTGTGGCTGATCACTAAAGCCACTTTCTTCCTCCTGACCTGGCCAGAAACTTCAAGCCCCACTTGAGGTGGAACAGTGTGAAAGCCCTGGCAGGGGCAGATGGCACCATCACAAGTGCCAGGGCTCCGTGGGGTCTTCTGGGACGGAGACCTTTCTATCCCACCAGGCAGGGAGCTCACAGCAGTCTTGCCAGCACCTTTGCATCCAGAGGAAACGGTGACCTTTTTGTCGGGGCATAGCCTGGCAACAGAAGGTAGAAGTTGCCAGAGCCGATTCCAGCAGAGGAGGATGTGGTGTCTGGGAATGGGCACCGTGCCTCTCTACCTCCCGGCACGCAGACCTTCACGTACCCTCTTGGATTCATAAAAGCACAGCTCTATTTAAAAGACACCGGGCCCATAGACTGCAGGTCTATCCTCATCCAAAACCGTTGTTAGAGCTGCCATTTCCTACAAAAAGAGCAAGCCCGGGCTCACACGGTGCCACTTCTTTATCCAGCTAGCTATAAATTCTACCTGAACACTGGGAAAGCTATTCACAGAGTCTCTGGAGGAACACATCCCACCCATAAATATGAATGATAATGAACTCGGAAAGGCCAGCTTAATAAAATAGCTGAAATGCACTTATGCATCATTAGCATTACGAGCTCCCCAGTGTTCATCTCTGAACAGCAGGGCCCTCCCAGCAGAGGTGGGAGGAACCCCCCACACACACCAGCTCTAGAACCAGATTGTGTGGTCTCTTCCAAAACTCAAATTATCAGAGAGCCCTCTGGGTTTTTTAAGTTCCAGTTCCCTTCAACATATGCGCTTGACATGGGGCAAACCATCCTCACTCTTCTAACATTAGAAATTACATCAGGTCCCTGGACTGCAAACAACAGCAAATGTGGGTAAAGTGGCCACGTTCACTCCACCAATTTTTGGTCGTGTAATCCACTTTTAGAAAAAAGAAGTGGGTCATGGGTGGAACCGTCATAACTGGGCTTTCAGACTATCCAACCAGGGTCTTTACAAAAGAGACATGAACCTCTCAAATCTGGAGAACCATGAGGCCCCGGCGACTCCTTAACACAAAGTCTTTGGTAATAAGGCATCTCAGGCATCCCTGGGGAATGTGGAATACTGAAGGCTGGTAACATCTCGTGGGCATCGTTCTTACACCAGACTGGACACAGAAGGCTGGCTGTGCACCCAGCCGTTCCTTGAACCCAGAGAAAAGAAGACTGAAACTTCTCATTTCTTCCCAGTTTCTTACCCCCAAAGCTGCCCCTTTCTTATTTCCCTCCACCATATATGACTTCAGAACTTCTTGGCTGCATGTACAAAAAGTTATATTTCTTTGCTCAACTCTACAGTGTGAGACACAAGACACGCAGCTGGAAAAGCAGGACATCTAAAGCTGGACTCCACTATTTATCAACAACTTCTCTGAACCTCGATTTTCCTGCCTCCACATGTAAAGAACACCCACCTGCAAAGCCTTGCATCCTGAATCATACAATACAGCATAGATGGCAATTATTAGCATTCATAAGTGGCAAAATCAACCAAGTTTCCCATTATGCAATCCATTTATTGCATCTCCTTGTGGCCTCTTCTCATCTCCAACCACAAGCAGAAATAGACAGAGTTGTAAGTCTGTTAGATACACAGCTATATATAATTCCTTTACTTACAATAATAAGAAGCATTTCCACACTCCTACCTTCAGTTTTGATTGATTTTTCTTAATATCTGATTTCAATTCCACCCATGGCAGTGAGGGGTGAAGGTCTTGC